ATGGTTACCCAATTATAATCACACTCTGTCAGACTTTTGAAAATTAAAAAAAGTATAAACTTTATTATAAGAAATCCTAATTTAATCTATCTTAAAAACTTTAACAGTCTAGAGTATGATTTCCTTGAAATGTTAGTACACATATGAGATTGTTGCAACTTAATTCTTTATTGTTGATATTCTTACAACATGTTTTTTTTTTTTTTTGATGATTCCAAATATTATTATTTTAATTAAATATTTCTCCTAACATATTTTAGATGCGCTGCTTTGTTATTTGTGAGTACTAATGTTTCAGGGAAATCACACTCCAAATTTTTGAAGACTTCAAATTAGATCAGTGTTAAAGACTATTGTAAATTAAGTCTGTAATTTTTCACTTTATTAAGTCAAAGAGAGTGTGATTGTAATTTAGTAACTATGCACACACACACAAGCGGAAAGATTAAAACATGAATTTTTAAAACTAATCATACTGTATGAATTAACTTCATACGGGATACTTTGTTCAATTATTTTTAGGGATGAACAGTCAAACAATCAGAAATGAAAAATTTTCTAAGTATAAATAGTACTGTATAAACACAGTTTGTACATACCTTGATGAGTACGAAATGGACGAGTTTAAGGTCACGTAAAATAAATTTTTGTAAGTATGGATCGTACTATACGAACCTAGTTCATACATGCCTTCTAGAGTATGACATGGATTAGTTTTTGTTCATATATAATAAATTTTTCTAAGTATGGATCGTACTGTACGAACCCTGTTCGTACATACCTTCCAGAGTATGAAATGGATGAGTTTCTAATCGTATAAAATAACTTTTTCTAAGTAAGGATCATACTATACGAACCCAGTTCATATATGCCTTCCAAAGTATGAAATGGGTGAGTTTCTGGTCACATAAAATAATTTTTTCTAAGTATGGATCATACTGTACGAACCTAGTTCGTACATACCTTCTAGAGTACAAAATTATAGATTCATTTTCATCCTAACCTTTCGTACAGACAAATATTGAAAATTTTCTAACTGTTCATCTCGGACGAACTTGGTTTGTACCGGATGATTATCTTGTACAAAATGATTTCATACCAAATCACAACAGGTTCGTACGCAATAGTTTTTGAATTATTCGTATGTACAAAATACTATCGTAATGTACAATTGTGTACGTTCAAAATTTGAAATTTGAAATTTTTTGGATGGTTTTTCGTGTCTTGGGTATAAATAGTCCACTAAAACTGATGTAAAATAGTCTTTTCTTCATGATTTTTCAAGGGCAATTGAAAGAAAGAGTGTGAGAGAGGGTTTGAGAGAATTTTTTTTAAAGTGGAGTGTGAAGGGTTCACAGGATTACTTAAAGATAAGGATCTCAGTATGATTTGTATTTTTCACTTTTCCTCTTATCTTTTTAGATTGCTCATGAGAAGATCTTTGAAGAAGATTCGATTTATTACCGACACTTGGAAAGTGTAAATAGACGACGGTTCTCTGTCGACACTTAAAGAGTGTGAACAGACAACAGTTCTCTGTCGATACTTAGAGAGTGTGAACAGACGATGGTTCTCTGCCAATACTTGGAGAGTATGAATAGACGACGATTCTCTGCCAACACTTGGTGAGTGTGAAAAGACGTCATTTTTCTATGTTGAGATTCGTTCACTATTAATTAGGTTGTTAAACCTAAGCTTATGTTCCAAGGCTATCAAAGACGAGTTTTAAATTTATTTTCTTAAATTATAAATAATTATAATAATAAATGTTTTTCCCTATTTTGTAATATAATTCTCGTAGTGAGAGGGAGATTAGGAGAAAATATTATTAGTTTGTAAATTCAACCAATAATATTTGTCATCATAAAAAATAGAAAGATTTTTGCAACTCGGGCTCTCAAGTTTATATTCTTAATGATAACAAATATTATTGATAACCTCTTTATTTCTACTAGTATTTATAGTTCATATTAATTTATGGGTGTACTAACATTTCAGGTATATCATATACTATTTAATGAAGATTCACGACACAAGATTGAATAAAATAGGGTGTATTGTAAGAGTTTATAATATTCATTTATTTTTTTTTGTTTTCTTAAGTCAAGTCTGGTAAGGGTGTATGATAGCCTGGTGACCATGCACACACACACACCCAAGGGAGTGAGATAGAGAAAAAATTAGAAGTATAATTTTATGAATTAATCATTCTATATGATTCATATCGTACTGTATGATCAACTATTCAAAAAATCATTATAATGGCTACTTGCATAATTATAATATGGTTTTAATGTTTAAAGTTTATAAAAACCTACAAATTCACACACCCCCTGCCTCTTGGTGTGCATAGTAATAGTTCACTGAGGATTAAATTCCTACATCAAACTTTAAGATTTGAAGATGCAATACTTGTCTTGGCACTACAACACTCCTTCCTTGGTGCTTCACTCTTTTTTTCCTAGTTTTTTTTACCACTGCAATGCTACCTTCTAATAGTTTAGTGTTGAGAATATGCATAATGATCTGATCCTATATCTTTGGCACTAGGGTAATCCTTTAATTATTGATATTTTACTTCCTTCATGCACAAGAAAATATATTTTAATGAAAATAAGCATAATGTGGATTATACATTTTTTACGAATCACACCCATTATTTATATGATTAAATGTGCAATATAAAATGCTACACCTAGGAATATATCTATATATATATAATAAACCAAATGATATACTTTATTACATGCTAACTTGGACACGTAGCTTGGCTAATCAAACACTTCCCACCATCACCCCCCCCCCAACCCCACCCACGCACACACACAGGGACCTATTCTTATAATATGATAGTAAACCTCAAAGCGAGTTCTCTTTGTGAGTTCTCATGAGTGAGTGTAGAGTTTCAAGCACTTAGGTTTTGGTGTAAGAAAAAATTTTATTGAGGTGAATCCTAAGAAAGTGTTGTTAAGTTCAATTTATGCAAGATTCTAACCTCCAAAAGCAAATGCATTACTTCCTTAGTGGAGAAGGTTCGAGGTTGAAGGAGATCCAAATATGAGAGATTGTAACTAGAGTTTTGTAGTGTGAATATTTTCTATAGGTCAGATGATGATGTAGAGGGCTAGCGTGTAACTCTAGTAAATGGAGCATGCCCGTGGGTGGATGACTCCTATTGGAATGAGTGACACCATAACTCAAATTGATCTAAATGAGTTTTTTGGGGGATTAACTGTATGTTGTGCTTCCTTAGATTGATTAGTTCAAGCGAGTTCACCAATCTTGGCCTTTCTAGGAGAGTGGCCATGTTTCTTCTAGATGGTGTCGATCAGCTTTTATGCCGGTTCCCTTTCCTCATGAGAGACTTGCTCGTTTGGCCCAAGTTCACTATGAGGGCTTATTATATACATGTGTTGCATCTACATAGGCTCTTCTTAGTCTTATTTGACATAAGATTCACTAAATTGGACTCCTATCATTACCACTTAGCTTTCTATATTGTTAGGAACACTTGATTCTAGCTTAATGGATCTATGCACATCGGCCCCCTATGGAGTTTAATCTCCTAAATTTGAATATTATATAACCAAAAAGCCTGCTTTCTATAGGAGGTTTTAGATTACTTTTGATCACATCCAATTCATTTAAGTTTACTTTGGACCCCACTAAATTAGCCTCACAATCTTATGGCTTAGTAAATCAGCACTATACTAGAAACTTGGAGATGATTATTGGGGAAAGCTAGATTTGCTTATATTTTCAGGCTCTCTTCAAGTTTGACTCTCCTTCACATAATTGTGAAACACTTCATCAAAATTCCCCTGTTGATTTGCTTAATCATGAATATTCCTTAGACATTTATGGTCCTTAATATAATCAAAAGTAAGTGATCATGAGCTCATTAGATTCTTCTCTTCAACAAGTTTATTTTGATTATAATTACGTAAGATTTGGAGATAGTTTGATATCTCAAATAGTGTCATGAAGTTTTTAACTAAGCTTTAGATGTTAGGTTTAAACTTATTTGAACTCGAATCAAAAGACTTTAGTATCGTTAGGTCATCTCATTAAAATGCTTATTTCAACAATAAATAAGTTGGATGGAATTAGAAATTTGATGGACGTGATTTTAATTTAGAAAATTTTCAATTTAAATACTATATCAAGATTCATAATTGATCAAATGAATTTTTTCAATGCAGCATCTTGCACAATTTTTTATTGTTTTGAATTATAATTTAGAGCACTAGATTTAAAAATAACAACTAAACATTATAAGAATAATAAAAATTATTTATACATAATTATTCTTAATATTTTTTAATGTAAAAACTCAATCATGATTTAGTTATTATTATGGTGAATTAGATTAATTATTTCTTAAATATGATTTATTTAGTAAAAATAACATTAAGATGGAATTTCTATTAATTAAACACTCAATTATGGCAACTGACCTAGTTTATTTTTATTTTCCATTTTAATTCTTAAATATATTCGTTTAAATTTCTATTTTTGAAAAAAAAAGATCCTATTATATTTTCTAACAATACTAATAAATAAATAAATATACTCATTTCATTAAGAATGATCAAAAAAATTTGAAAAATAACAAATATTTTTATCAAAGAAATGCTCAACAAATTTAGTTCGCTCCACACGTAGAATTATATGGTACATTTTCTATGTTTTATTTTATTCGTGATGTTTATACATACCACATTATTTTTATTTATTTATATATCTAATATATAAATTTAATATTTAATTTTATAATATTTTAGTATCTCAATTGCATCCTAATGTATAAATTAAAATAGATTTAATTTTTAAAAAATAATGTTAGTGCTAATTTTTATTACATATTTTATAAATAATTATTAAAGTTCAAATATTTAAAATATAATGTCATATGTCCATAAGTTCCACTTGTTTAATTTAAAATTTGTCAAGATTTTTATATAATAATAATTCAAAAAATGTATCGTATAGCATTTGAAATTTTTGAGGGTGCAAAACTAAATTTGGGAAACTTCGCTCATAAGAAATGAAAGGAGCCCTAATCGCGTAATGAAGATGGCAAAGCCTATCCTACCTTTATAATTCATTCTCCACTTTCCTCTGAGCTTACGGTGTTCATCGCAAACCCACCGCCACATTTCGGTGAACACGCCGCCTTCTTGCCCTCTTCGATTAGGAAGTAATATGGTAAACTTCAATACACCGAACTTCTGTTGTTCTCTTCCTTGAAAGCTTAGCAGCTATTTTCTTGATTTTTTTCCTTTATTTTTTTGGGTAAATCATGTGATGAAGTTGAATATTTATAGGAGTATAAGATGGATGGAAAGATTTGTATTAAAGTCGAACCAAGAGGACAGACAAATTCAATTGATAAGCTGTGGGATGATGGACTAGTGGGACGGATCAAGCAGATTTTGGTTTGGTATGATGAAGATTTTTTTTCAGGGTTTCAGACCATTTATGAGTGTACTACGGGGAAAAGACTGACCTCCAAGAGGCACGGAGGAAATCACGGAAACTTTGAAATGGTAAATAATAAATTTACATTTTTTGAATTTTGATTTGGAGTGATCAAACTTTAACTTAATAGCTCTGAATTCTGATTTTTTTTATTCATTGCTTTGGTTAATGATTATTTTTTCTTTTATGAATCACTTTTAACTCTTCAACGATGGAAAACAAGACTTGGATACTTGGATCTTGAGTAATGTAAGTAAATCAGAAACTTGTGAAATTAGGGAACTCTTTGGCTGATGAAGTAGGACTTAGTAAATCTGAATTTATTAAATTCTTATACAGTTTCTGGTATTTTTTTTGGCAGGATAGAGGATAAATCCGATTAAATCTTGATAAAATATTGAACTTTTTTACTTGAGGATTTATGTATGCTAATTCAAATAAGATTTTAATAATATCAAATTATTTGTTAATATTTATCTCTGATTAATATTAATTGTTAAGATTAATTTAGTTACATATAATTTGTAAAATTGAATATTAATAATTATTTTTTAATTTTTTTAATATCTAATTAAATTTGATAAATCATATTATTTATATGTTAATTCATAATTAACTATTAATAAATTAAATATTAAAATAATGAGAAACAAAAATTTATTTAACATTTAATAATACAACAACAACAACAACATCAAGCCTTAATCCCACTAAAATATTAAAATAATGAGAAATAAAAATTTATTTAACATTTAACCTTTTAATGAAGATCTAAATATTAAAAATGAACTATATTATAAATAAAATTTTTTATTCATCCAATCAATTGGCTTTATTGCTCACATGATTTTTTTATTATTGTAAAGAGAAAAAGAAAAAAGAAAAAAGAAAAAGATAAGTTTCCCACTGTTTCGAGCTAAAATAGATGCTGCAGTATTGTAAGAAGATTTTTTCTTAGTGTTGCACGGATATCCAACACGCAAACAGAGAACTCAAAATTTAACTATAAGTTTGCAGAAATCGGAGTTCGGGTGGTCTCAAAATTAATTTTGGACGTTTTTTATTTAACTTTGCCTTGAGATTCATACTTGATTAAGATATTTTTTTGATGATGTATAAGTTTCCCCTATATTTTCAGACATTAAAGTTTGCATAGTCAAAAAATACATGTCAGCATATTTCAAACTGTTCTATTGCAAAATTGTAATATCTGGGAAATTATAAGGAGTGGCCACTCCTTGGATGTCAACGTGGATCTCCCCTCAGGGCTACGAACCACGTAAAATATCATTAATAAAAATTTGAAAATAATCCTAATGTTAGCGCGTCAATAGAAGCAAAAATGTCAAAAATTTATGTTTAAAAAATTCTAAAAAGCTCGCAATTGACTGTAAAGCTTCCGATGGTCTTTGAAAATATCAAAATTGAGTTCAGAATGCCAAAAATTATTTTTGGTGACCCAAAAAAAATTTGAATCGACAAGTCCGTGCAAAAACTTGGGCCCGAACATGATTTATAGGCAGAACTAGCCCTACAGCCACCCGTAAGTTCTGCCAGATAGCTCGTAAGACCTTCACATATGACCCTTGTGCCCGACGCGATTTGCCCGTGCCCCGTCCCCCTTGGCTCGCACCTGCTGTATTGTTGACGTGGCCCATGTTCACACGTGGGGTTGCATATGATGTGTGGCGTGCGCCAGTCTGCGCCAACCGCAACTGGTCTGCTGCGATTAGCTGGCGGTTAACCAGCTAATTTAATAATTTTATATATATATATATATATATATATATATAAAATTAAGAAATTAACAATTAAAATTATCCCCCCTCTTGCAAATATAAATACTCCCTTGGGTTACTAAAAAATCTGCCCCTCCCTCTCTCTTCCTTTTCTTCTTGTAGCCTTCTTACAACAAAGGTTTCCCCCTGATTTGCTTATGTGGTATCCCCTGTCAAGCACTAGGGCCCCTCTTTGTGTATAAGCGACCTTCTTGCCTCTCCCGCCTCTATCTCTCCCAAATTGCTTTTCACTTTTGAGGCCCTCCACTATCTTTGATAGGTGACATCTCCTATTAAATTTCATTTCCCCTCTTTTGTGCATAAATTCTAATGAATGACCATCCTCCTGTGTGAATTCAAGAACAAAGGGAGATCAATGTCCTGCTACTCATATTGATGGTGACAAGAGATATTGTAAGTTATCTAAGGCTGACTACGTGGTATCTACCATTATTGGAGATTCTTTGATTATTACTCACAAGAAGTTCCATTTTCCCAACGATCTCGTGGCAATGGCTTCTAAAAGATCAAATTGGTTATGCTCTCCTCCTCTAGGATACCTAACTATTTATGAAATCAGTTTATGAGCAGCGCTGCAATTTCCATCTCCTCTAGGTTGACCGATATCTCAGCAATAAGTGAGGGTGAGTTTATCATAATTTTTTACAGAGCCATGTCGGTCATGGTGGGATTAATTGTTTTCTTCAAAGATCATGGACCAATTTTGATGCTAGAGTTTCTTTCTCAGATGTTTCGATTCACTTACGTTACACAGGGATTTATCACATTCGGATCCAAATGGTTAGATATTCACACTCAAGATCTATCAAAGAGTTGGATCAGTGCATTTTTCTTTGTGAAAAATAATTGAGGTCTTTTGATGAAATGGGGAAAAATAAAGGATTTTCCCGTTCCTCTTCATATTGCAGCCGAAGAAATATTGAAAATACTCAAGATTCCTGATGTTGAACATCTTCTCTATGAGGTATGCTACTTGAGTAAGTACATAGTAGAATAATTTTTGTTTAAAGTTGGATTGCTTATCCAAGCAAAGAGGTCTACTGCTAAATACCTGTTCAAATCCTGCTGTAATCGGTGGACCATGCCTTTGCAAATGGCGTCGGATTCGGTCTCATCACGCATGCATGCATAAACTACTTGATCGCATCATTAAAAGGGTGAGGAAATGAAGCCATTTTTCCTCTTCTTCTCTTCTCATGCACAAATCTCAAAGCCGAAGCCATCTTCATTCCTCGGACTCTTTCAACAGCAATCAAAGCTGATCGAAGCTCCAACCCTGCCTCTTTAAACGACTGTTATTGCCGTAAGGGTCTCCCAAGTCCGACTCCTCTATTATGCAAACTTCAACCTTCTTTCCTGTCAAATCCATCCGAACTTCCCCGTAGCCCTATTGCTTCCAATTCCTTCAAGCTTAAACCTCCACTTCATGCAAGATCTAGACGGAAGCAAGGTTCGTCCGTCGAATCCCAAATCCTGATCCACTGAGCTGCATCCGACCTCCAAACCACCTCATCCTCCTTTCCCCATTCTGACTTCATCCGACCTAGCCCCAAGCAAGCTCCCGTTGACGCCACTTGTCTGATCCTTGTGCCGCAAGCTACTCGTCTCCCTTAGTCGACCCTTATGTATAGTTTTGATTTTATTTTATTTAGTTATTAATCACTATTAATTATTATTATCATTATAAATTTTACTATTTCTAAAAAGGGGAGAAGAATAAAAAAAAGAGAAAAAAGTTTTAAAAAATGAAAAAAATGAGGGAAAAAAAAAGAGAATGCAGAAAAATAGAAAAGAGGATAAAATTCGAAAGAAAAAAGAAGAAAATGATAGTGAGAAAAATAAAAAAAAGATAGATTTTGTGCATTTTATTGTCGATGTCGCCATTTGCAGGTATAAGTTCTAAACCTCGAGATCCAATTTTCAGCGGTTGCAGCGCGGCGAGTAACCACTTATACAAGCTTTTCTTAAAGCGGTGGGAGGAAGCTCATCACGATGATGGGGACGAGGTCGGCATTTACTTGAAGTCAAGATTTTGGCGTTTGTGGTGCACCGGAAAATTGCCTATACACGTTTTTCTTAGTGTGATGGGAAGGGAATCTCGTGCAGCACCTACGGTATGGCGGGCGAGTCCTGTACATGATCTTGTACACCTGCGGGAAAAAATAACTGTATTTTCAAACAGATACCTTTGAAGACCCATGCACACCTTTCTTGGCACGGTGGAGACAAAGACTACAGCCGTGGTGTCACCCAACACCGATCGTACACGCCTTTCTGGACGTTGCGGGCTGGCTAAGACTCCTATGGTTTCTCCTAAACGAGAGAGATGTCAGGAGGTTGCCAAAATTCTATTTGAAGACGCTAATGACTTGAACAAACATGGGACCAAACTTTTGAACATCAGATGGCTTACAAATTTGGGCTTGAACTTGATTTGGACCAAATGGCAAGGAACTTGAATATGAACTGAACTCAAATAATGAACTTAAACTTTAATTTTAACCCAATGCAGGGGACTAAACATATGAATTGAACTGTATAAAATTGAACCTATTGTCACCATAAAAATCTAACTTGCCAAATGATAAAAATCAAGCACAAATACGCAAGGGACTCCTAGTGAACAAGTCCTCAATGCATATGAATAATGAATAATAAAACTAAGGCCTTAAAGGTATAACAAAGAATGTTTTGTTAAATCAATAATGGACATGATTCATTGGAAACTTACATCAACATTTGAATGTCAACAAGCAATAATGGTTTGTAGTAGCACTATCTATAAAGTCAACTTGTAAGCATAACTTGTCTACAATCAATGAAGAGATAGCAAAATATGTGATTCAATTACAAGCAACAACATGAAACTTATAAATCATAATAGTTGAATTGCAACGACAGCGGATATATCAATTTCCTATTGACTCTAAAAATCAATATGCAATGAATGCATCAATTCACCTTTATGGAATGTATCCTCTTGCAAACATATAGTGCAATATGTGATGAGTGCTAGCACCTTTCGATATCAACATAAGATGTACTGTAAGCACAATGGCATACCCATGGATGATAATTAGAAACAAGTATTATATTGCACACATGCGACGTTTAGGGATGCTGCGCGGGTAAGAAAAATAAACCCAAGTTTGAGCCCGATCCTTCTATGTGGGTAAATATGAGTCGACACGGCTCGAACCATCAAACATACATATGGTCACGGTATTGATTGTTTTTTTTTATACATTCATGTTATACCTTTAAGGCCT